TTGTCTCTTTTCCTTGCTTCTGGTTCCTGAATTCCTCGCCCGTGCGCCAATTTTCTGCGATTCATCGGTCGAGGACGGAATATCAAATACCCCCTGTGCGCAGTCTATAGAAATGGAAGCCTCGAGCTTGATCTACAATTGATCCCTGTCGTAGTATTGTTGTGAAGATGAGAATATTGAAATAATGTAGTATTTTGACCAAAAGTAACAAAACTGAGGGAAAAAGAAGAGAGAGCTCTCATCGCAACTATCGTACATGAACTGGTGTCTGCGCACGTGACCCGCAGGGCAATATGATCAGGTGACGTCCTGGTTCGTCATATCATCCTCCCTTCCGACAGGACTTGGTCCCCAGGCCTGACTACCTGTATCTGCCGTGACTGTCATCATCCTTGTCGTCGTCTTGTCGTCGTCGACGAATTCATCGTCTGCTGCCGCCTGTAGCCATATTGGTAGCTGAATTGAGGGGCCCGGCTTGCCGGGGAAGCGATCGTGGAATGCCTTCAGCTTCTCCGGTGTGTTCTTGTAGTCGCCGGCGGGATATTTACTGTAGTAACTTGGTTTGATTGATCGTAAAGAACTAAATATATGTGTGTGAGTAAGTGTCCTTATATACCTAGCTCTTCTTATTACTGACAAGACTAGGTCTTATTACTCCAGGTGATCTATTCTAAGCTTACCGTTAATAAATCTCCTCTTATTACTAATAAGTACCTGTTTATAGTATCCTATTGATCACATAATGTTAAGTCTTTCAAGTAATCATAATCTGATATCTTTAGTATAGTTTGAGACGGTGAATCAGAGGCTGATTCCGGCCGTTCGTCACGCGATCTGATCCTGCGTTCCTCCCCCAGGAACGGTTGGCTCTTGGTGGCCCGTCTGTAGGCTGCGGCCCCTCATGTCGCAGGGTCCGTAACAGTATTCTTGGAGTACTTTTAAATTGTATTATAAGAGTAGGTAGATTATTCTGTAAGGGGGTATTTTCTCTTCTTCATTTTTGATTCTATAGTTAGTTTCCTTTCTTAGAGGTATGATTTTTGAGTTTCAGGTTTGAAAAATATCTTTAAATCCCTGGAATTCTGAGGGGATTCGATCTTAATCTGTCTGTAAGATATTTCTTTGTCTTCTAGAAGCCAGATGTTCTTATTAGATATCTTAATAACTGTAAATACTATAATTTATGTTTCAAGAGCTTTAGTAAAGTATATAGAGTTATGATTTCAAGGTCTGTTTTCTTGATATTAAACTACTATTATTTCTTCTACAGTACGAGGGAAATTTAGTGATTATTAATTATTGTAATAGATAGTAGTATAGGAGATCCTTTCTTTTGTGGGTTATAATTAACTGTGATACATAGCTGAATTATTTGTTTTTTGGTTCCCCTACTATCCTGAATCATAATCAGAACATTCTAAATACCATCAGTAGGGACTTTCTTCCCTCCAATAGCTTCAATTGTAAGTTCATTCAATTTTACTTGTCATATAAAACTTGTTACTCATATAGAGAAGGTGTTAGTATATTCTCTAGGGTGAGTTCTGTTCATGGGTCTCACTTAGATTAAATAGTGTGTCTTGGAGCAGTACTACTAGATTCCAGGATCTCTGGGACATTTAGGGTTCTGTTATGATTTAGGGCCGTTTAGTTGTCGTTGGAACCTTCTTTGAGTTATGTGTATTGTGATTGTTAGGTAGCTAGTATTATGGTTATGAGGTATTCTCTTCTTCTTAGGTAACCAAAAGGAGAAGAATCAGAATTGTAAGGGCTGCTAAGGTATTAGCTAGCACTGATTATTCAGGTAAGAACTGAGAGAATAAGCCTAAGATTCGATTGTAAAACAGGGATTGATTCTTGAAGAGCCTTCAAAGAATCAAGGGTATCACACCTATTTATAATACATTAAAGGCCCCTGATTCATGAGGGAAATATATATAAATTGGATATTATTCTGACCCAATACTACCTTGTCACATCCCCATCTATCCGGAAGATTGTTCCGTAGTGTTGGTTGTTCATGTTGTTACCTCATCCTGACAGAGGGAGGTTCGGTATTGAATCGGTTCCTGGCCTGATATCACGTGACTGAATATCAATTTCCCGTGACATTATTCTTGAATATAATGTATAGAGATAGTACAAAACCACTCATACTAATTAACTTAATTGCTGTTACCCTCACGATTTTCAGGCTATAAAAATGCTCGCTAGCTATAGTATTTAGTATGTTTTACTACTTTAGAAGTTGTAAAAAGACCTATTGTAAAGCCAGCATCATTAAAGTTATAGATATTCTCTAGTTGGATACTATTCTCATCAATCACATGTTGAACAGTGTTAAACTACCCATACAGAGATTTTGGATCCTTATTTTGAGCATACTGATAATCATAGTGTCTTGAAAATCGTGTACAAAGCTCATCATAACGATTGACAAAGTTTGATACCCAGTTTTTTCCAATAGTAGGTAAGGGGGTGGATCTACGCTCCGCAAGTAGAATATTAGCCATCTCTCGTACAGTTGAGCGCCTAGGTGCTGCGCCACGTGAATCTATAGAGTATCCATAGAGCATCCATTGAACAAGTGATTCCTCTACTGTTTGAGTCTACTTTTGACTATTTACACTCATTGTTGTGCGAGAGGCAGTACCATTAACGCATCTGCTTAATATAGTGTAGGGTACACTATATAGCTTCGCAGCGGCATTTAGGGTACAAGTTTGGCCTTTTTGAAAGCTACCGATAGCTAGAGATATTCTTCCCTCACTATCAGGCGAGTTTGAAGATTTTTTGGTGCGTTCTGGTGGCATGGTTGATGTTTGAAGATGGCGGGTACGCGAGGGCCACGCGTTTTTGGTGAGGTTCACCACTCGCTTGGGAATTACGTTATTCAGGGTTTGGCTCAGGTTTCTAAAACCACGACAAAATGCATATGTCAGCTTTGTAAACGAAAATCTAGGAAGTCACTTGACCGCCTTGTTATTTTTGCGCTTGCGAAGCTAGTTCTTGAGGCATTCAAACATCTTGTAATTAGCCAGCTTCCTGGCAAGTGTGCCTGATGGCTAAAGGTAAGAAAGGGGATTCAAAGTCATTCTAGGGGAAGAACACCCACCCAGCCCCCCCTCCAAACAAACACCTAAGCTTCAGCTGCACTTACCTCCTCCATTGGAGAATCTCCTCTGGAAAATGATGGACTATGCCCCGCAATATTGACCTGTCTAGGCGGTTACATATTTCGCTTCAATGAGAGATCTTTTTCCTCGTTACTTGTTTAGTTCATCTTAGAGGTATCTAACAAGCTCAGTTATATAGCAAATCGTAATTTATTGAGTTTGAATTATAGTAAAGTTTTGAGATATCTAGCCTTGTAACCCTTCTGAGCAAAATATATGAAACACATGTCACTGCGGGGCTTGATAGATCGCTTAATGCAAAGAGATCCATCTTTCAGCTCCTCACAGATGATCGGCAAACAGATCGGGAATTTACCAACTAGATCTTGAGAAGAACCCTGCCTATTTCTAATTCAATGTACTGGCACCGTGCACGGAGTACACTGCAGTTCCAAAACTCAAGCCTACTCTTCCTCATCGCGTTCAGCTATCGGCCACTGCGAAGGTCCTAGTGGGATCAGACATGACTTTCAAGGTCTCTCACGTACTCACTTCAGCCGGGAGAAACATCGGGGGTGCTCTCGGAGCAGCTTCGGACGACCAGATGACTGGCCCCTCTAGGTCTCAGGAGCCGATCACCTCACGAGGAGCTCGCCCGCTCATTGCGGCTCCACTCCCGTCAAGTTCCTAATCCGTCGAGAGCCATTCCGTCCTTCTTTGGTTGAACTTTCAACACTCTTCTCCAATGATCAATTTGTAGCTTCGCTCTGAAAGGCAATACTTGCCCCTTTTCGTTTCCGATGGTTTATGCTGTGCGATATATCGCGGAGCTAGGCTATATGTTAATAAGAGGGCGGGGAGACTGGCGGCCAAGGAGTGGTCTCAGATGTATGTACATCCCTTGTTTAGTGTATTACGTAATCCAGATTATTGAGCTTGGAATCATGAAGCGCCGGACGATGGTTATTCTAGAGAGTATCTCAAGATTCATTACAATCTACGTATGCTCCAGGGATTCAAACAAGCCAAGGATGGGGCGACCGGCGTCAACACGAATCGCCGACCCTCGTGCGAGTGACCCTCATCATACGCTTCTCCTAATTTAGTTAAATGAATTTCATAATTCAACATATTTGAAGTAAACAGGTCACCAGTCACTACTGTTTGTGCTGTTTTATCACCCGCCCTCGCTGCGGGTGAGGGTGAGGTCTAATCGCACCCTTGGCCAACACAAGATTTCTAGGCACCTTATCGACAAATTACTTAGAATAGTTATGTACACGCTTCATCAGGTGGGTTCGCCCTTTAGTTCGAAGGCTGAGCCATTCCAATAAATTTCAATGGAGTCACACTGCCCAGGCCAATCCCAACAGCGTAATCTGAAACACTAAAACATTGGCTAGCTTAAGGCTGTGCATCAATATAAATTACGTTACGTACACACGGACACATGTAGATAACTATATAATCCTCATCGAGTGAATATATTGTGCCAATAAAACCTTTTGAGGTTTGGTGTTTCACCGACATATCTCCTTCGACCCTAAATCGACAGTGAAACCTTCCGCATCAAGGTAGATCGCAGTTCATCTTGCCTGATCTAACATCCTATGGGCTGGGTCCACATTATCGGTAAGAGTCAATTCAGACCCTTGATTAATATAGAGCTCTAAAAATGAGCGGGTACGATACTGCGTGGTACCGAAAATAGGTAAGTAAGCAGATACGTGAATTAATGTGAAACTCCGATATTTCTCTTCGAAGAAGATCCTGTCGAGCAAGTTATACGTTCGTGGACGAAGTATAAAGCAGGCTGTACCTCCACGCTAAAGTCCAAAATATCAGTCCACCCACACTCGTGTTTTACAACCTTCTCTCTTCACTATGTTCTTCCACCATTTCACTCCTTTTATTTTGGCCTCTGTTATACCATCCGTCCTGGCTGACGGATACAACAATATCGACCCGTCCGCCACCACAGGAGCTAGGTCCCTCCTCCGACTGATCCAGTCTCAGTTCGGGTCCCAATACCTCTCCGGCCAGCAGGACCTGGCCAGCCTCCAATGGGTTCAGGAGAACATCGGAAAGACACCTGCCCTCCTAGGTAGTGACTTTATGGACTATTCCCCGTCCGCTGTGGCCCACGGTTCTAAATCTCACGCCGTTGAGGATATAATCAATTTCCATCACCAAGGCGGTATCAACGCACTCGTCTGGCACTGGCATGCGCCAGCCTGTCTCTACGATAATTCCGAACACCCCTGGTATTCAGGCTTCTACACCGAGGCAACGTGCTTCGATATCAAGGCAGCGCTCGCCGAAGGAAACCGTAACGGTACCAACTACCGTCTCCTCCTCCGCGACATCGATACCATCGCCGCGCAGATTAAGCGTCTCTCCGCGGCCGATGTCCCGATTCTGTTCCGTCCCCTGCATGAGCCAGAAGGCGGATGGTTCTGGTGGGGCGCTAAAGGGCCTAAGGCTTTCCTCCAGCTCTGGGACCTCCTCTACACCCGGATCACGGAACATCATGGCCTTCACAATATCGTTTGGGTCTGTAACACGGCCGACTCAGCATGGTATCCCGGCAACGACAAGTGTGATATTGCCACAGTTGATCACTACGCCAAAGCCGGGGATCATGGAGTCCTGAAGAATAAATGGCATAAGTTGTACGAGGTGACAGGCGGAAAGAGGGTGCTGGCGCTTGCTGAAGTTGGCGTGATTCCAGACCCGGAGGAGCAGGCCAAAAGTAACACGCACTGGGCGTATTGGATGTGCTGGTCCGATGAATTCATCAAGGATGGTAAGTACAACGCTAAGGGGTTTATTCAGGAGGTGTACGATAGTCCTCGCATTGTCACGCTGGAGAATGTTCAGAAACTCGGCAATAGGACGCTTACTCACCGTCGCCGGTTCTAAGGATTTGATAAGGATCCAGTGATTTGGGCTGTTCTGTGCTGTCTAACTCTTCGTTTACTTTCCCTGATTATATGTATTGGAGGCTCGGACCTCCTAGATTTAGATATTAGTCGCTCTTTAAATCCACCCAGTATCTACCTCTGTTCTTTTAAAACCTTGTTGTCTTCTATTTCTATTTTTTTTTCTTTCATTCTAGATGATTCCTATTGTTAGCATAATCGACTAAATTGACTAGCCACAAATAACTGTGGGTGGAGTCTTAGCTTCCGAAGGGCATTTGGGCCCTGAGATCCTATACTCTGTTGTCAATTCCACTGGGGGGCTCAGTGGAATCGTACGGATGCTCATTGGGCCGTGGTGTGTGCTCCCGCTGGCATACCCTAGTGGAAAAGAAAGTCAGCCCCCATTCCCTTTCTTCACCTCCTGATTCGCCGATTCTGCGTGTCCCCGTCGCCCGCGGTGCGTGTCCATTGCCTGTCCTATCCATGCTCCCCCGCGTTTGACAGCGATAAGCCTTAGACCCTAAGTCAAGAAGAATTGATAGAAATCCTATCGGATCAGAGTCCTAGAGCCGAGTCTCACTCGGAGTAGTAACGGCTACAGCTCAGAATATCCCCTCATCTGGTGATGGATATATGTTAGGACAGCGATGAAATGACGAGTGCACACCAACTACTGAGGACATCTCTAATTTCTCGGCCTTATAAGTCTACCAGTACGGCAGCTAAACCTGATTCTGATACATCTCTATTATTCACGAGGCATTAATCTCCAGAGAGAACAGCAATCCTGTATCCAGAGTCTATACGCGTCGCGTCGCGAGCTCAGCCATAATTTCGGGAGCGTCTCGCGTCGCTCGAGATGACCTATCACAATGATGAGCCACTCTCTATCCCCGAGTCCTAAGTTTCCGCTGGACTGATATCCTTTTCTTTACACTTCCTGTCCCTCTGCCTATTGCTACCATTTCTTTTACTAGCACTATCACTATGGGCTCAGTTAGGGAATTCTTTCCCTACAACACTACTTATCGGTTCTGGATCTGCAAGACTTGTCGATATGTAGTGGATGCCAGAACGATGATCTCCCCAGCTAGCCGCAAAGCATAGACGAGACTCTTCTGCCCGTACAGCGGCACTGCGGGCGGCAATTTTTTTTGATTCTTGATGGTCACGGTAGTTATTTAATACCTTAATTCGATCAAATCTGTGAGGGAAACGATATTATACCAATTTTTTTGCTATCGTATTTATTATCTTTTCTACAACCACTTAATATTGGACGTTTTGCAGTAATAAAATGCTTATATGGTCACTTCATTGAATCCCAAACCCGCCTAGGATATAACTATATCGATAAGCTTGATTTTCTTGAATCCTATATTCTAGAACGCTACGAAGTCTTCAAAATAGATACAATCCAATCAAGTTTCGCTAGCGCAGGCTTAGTTCTAATTATCGCCGAGTAAGTCCTATCGAAACTTAATATATCGCTTAAAATACTAACACCACTAGTAAGCAGACCTAGTAGTAGATCTAGTGTTTTTATACCTAAAACACCACATATAGCGAAAGAGCTTACTAAGTAAGCTTCCTTAATCAAGCGCCTACTTCGCTAGTGTTCAACAACACCAAGAAACCCTACTAATTGTGTACTAGATCAACTAATCAAATTTTGCCACCTAGTGCTTTAAGGTGGTATACTACTTGCTGAGGAAAATTGAGTGCTACGTAAATTTAACGAGAAAAAACGCCAGAAGCGCACTAGATCTAATCGCCAGATTGAGCGCCAGGAAGGACTATCGGTTGCTGAGTTCATACAGCAGGAATCATTGCCAGTAGTGCCTACTGAATCGATTTATTCTGGTCAAAGCGAACACGCTCAGCAGCCTACCGAGCACGCTGGGCCTATAACTAAGCGTGTATTTAGGTGTTCTGGGTGTAATAATTTAGGGCATCGAATCAATAAATGCCCTAGTAAACTAATTTGAATCAATATATTTGGTGGTTTTTGAATAATCGTGTATTGAAGATTCTAGATGTGGTGGAGTGTTCGGAATACTAGTGAAATACGTTAACTATAACTATAGTTAATTAATTAATAATCTTATTATAGTTCTTATTAATCTACAGACAGCTCTATAGCTAGATGTTGATCAACCAGTCAATGAGGTTACTGATTATCTGTTATAAGATAGGCTCTCTGTATGTTGGTACCGTTCAATTGCATCAATTCGGCTGTAGCCCTTTACGCTCTCTAACTATATAACTATTTATTATCTACTTAATATCACAATAGGGCCTTCAAAGAGTAACCCTTACAGATTTTAGAAAGAGTATAAGTTTAAGGATCCAGTGCTTACGGTAATAATAGTACAAGATATTCTTGCAACACCTGCTAGCAGTATAGGTGTTGAGTAACTATTTAATTATGCTTGCGATTTAATTCGGTTCAGTTCTCCCGAGGGGTCCATATGCAGATCCTAGGATGGCCGGCCCACGGCAGCGAGGCTCCCTGCCCGGCCCCGACAGGGAAGGTCGATCGAAGCTGGGGAGGGAGGTGATAAAGCGATAAGGAACGTCACCCGAATTTTTCCACGCAGCCAACACCCTCACACGAACCACAAAATGGCAGAAGAAGCTCATCCGACCTATCTATCGCCCAGTGAGCTGGGCACAAAAGACTAGTAAGTGCCATTGAAGGCCCTATACGCACCGAAGGCCCCCAAGCTCGCTCCAAATGGCTCCGCGAGGGGCAGCAGAGGGCGGGGTATACGAACCGTACCTGAGGGCTTCTTTTTTTTTTTGCATGACATTTTACATGGCCATTCTCTGGATTCGTCATGCTACAGTCAAGACGGTTATTATCAAGAAAATACAGACCAAAAGCTAATTATATTCACTACCTTAAGTTGGGAAACATACTACGCGCGCACGCTCGCTCACATCTCCAACCCCACCGCAACAGAAGAACAAGAACAAGATCAAGCGCAAGAGAAAGCCAACGACGAGACCGCCAATGAAGATGATTCAGAGACAGACTCCGTCAACGACGAAGATGACCCTGGCACCTCTTGGTTCTCAGAACATAATGCCCCGCAAAAGGTGCTCCGCTTCTTGACGCGCTCGTCCTTCCCTCTCTCCCCGCGCGCCACACGCGGGTCTGCGCAACCGAGTGTTCTTGACCTGGGAACGGGGAATGGGAGTATGCTTGCTCTCTTGAGGAAGAAGGGTGGGTTCCGGGGTGAGCTGGTTGGGGTGGATTATTCGGCGCAGAGCGTTTGGTTGGCGAGGGAGTTACAGCGGACGAGGGGCCATTCGGCTTACCATACCGATTCCGAGGATGAGGAGGACTCCGACGAGGAAGAGAACGAAGTTGGTAACGGGACCGGGGAGTTAAGATCAGAGAATATTGCTCCTGTCGAGCCTCGTGAGATTCAATTTGAGGAGTGGGATATTCTCGGGTCCAAGGCTATTCTCTCTCCGTTCGGGACGGAGGTCTCGCCTGCTGAGACGGAAGAGACGCTTTCGTGGTTTCCGTATTCTCGCGGCGGTTTTGATATCGTGCTTGACAAGGGGACTTTCGATGCTATCTCCTTGGCTGGGGATGCGAAGGAAACCCGCGTTTGTGAGCGGTATCCTAGTATTGTGCGCCGGTTGATTCGGGCTGGAGGGTTCTTGATCGTTACGAGCTGCAATTGGACGGAGGAGGAGCTTGTGCATTGGTTTACGGCTGCTGAGGGTTCGGATCGGTTTGTTGTCTGGGGCAGGGTTGAGTACCCCCGATTTAGATTTGGGGGTCAAGAAGGACAGGGTGTGTGTACAGTCTGCTTTCAGAGAGTTGCGTCTTAGATTTTCTTGATACTTCTTGTGTTCAGGTTCCACACAAATCATGTCTAAATGTGCAAATGGCATTTCTATATCATCTGATGAACCGGGTTTCGTTATCATTATCATAGTGCTGTCTCAATGGGCATGTGAAGATAGACCCTATTGAATCAGCCCTTGTACATTCGTAAGTGAGGGGATACAAATGCCAACATAAATGTAGGGTATGCCTTTACTCCTCCTCCCGCTTCAATACGCAAATAGCACACCACTTTGCACGAGTCTCAGGGCCGTCGTCATCCCGCCTAGGCAACCATTCACGTCGGATCTCACGGCCATCCTCATGTCGTGCCGTGAGATCGCGCTCAAAGATACTTTCAATCCTGAGGCCGTTCTCGAGGGCTGTTTTGAAGAAGTCTGCGACAATGGCTCGGCCTGTATGGAACGCTGCAACTACACACACATGGCCACCGGGAGCTAGGAACCAGCGCATTGTGCGGGCGAGATTCTCGTGCTGCGCTCTCATCCAGTAGCAATCAGCGGCGATGATGCGGGTAAAGGCACCTCGGTTCTGCTGGGAAAATGTATCATCCAAGACGCCCCACTCATGTGGTTGAATGGAAATCTTGGCTGGGGGTATTGGAGAGCGATTGTGTAGGTTGTGGTCCATATTCAATTGGATGGTACCCGCCAATGCGGGGGACAGAGGGTGGTCCGTTGCCACAACGGCGGATGCATTGGCAAGGGCGCTGGTGATGGAGGGAAGTCCGGCACCTGGCGAAGCAGCAAGTATCAGTATCATATAGTGGGATATCTTGGAGTTTCTCCGTAGAGCAAGGTAGAGCGAGTATAGTAGGATGAGCTCCAAATGTTGTGACTTACCTGCGCCTAGCTCCAACACACTCTGGCCCGTGACATTCCAAATCTGGTAGGCATCTCTTCCCACTGCAGTTGGATTCGTCTCGTAAAGATGTGCGTTCTCGATGCCCTCTGCAGCGACCAAGCCCGAGCTCCAGACGATATGTGCGAATAGTGTCCGTCCCTCTTGGACTGACACTTTTTCATCTGCACCTGTCTTCTGTTCTGTGGCCGCCTCAGTGGCAGATTTGTTCTGTGTCGGATAGGAAGGCACTGCGATCTCAAGATCACCATAGCTTGGAGACGAGTAGAGAAGATGCTGGCCTGGATCGCCGAAGAACTGTGGGGCATCGTCTGGGAAGAGACTGGCTAAGGACCACTCGAAGAAGTCTTCGGGTGTTTCTTCTACCTCGTTTTGACCATTGTGTTCGAAGTCCGATGCAGCAATTGTGAAAGGACGCTGAAGGTGGCGGGGGAGGGGCTGCAGACGGGAGCGCAGCATATGGGAGAGCTTGATCTATTTTGTTTTAAGCATGAGACAGGGAAACTTCTGCGCGTATCGAAAGTCCACGAGATGCAATTGCAATTGGGTGACCAAGGCGCATGTTCAAGTCATTGCTGCAATTGCACTCTCAAGTTGACCTCGTACGCGGCACACATTGTGGATCGTACATCCCATCACCATAGAAGTTTCTTATCGGGCTCCAAAAAAAAGAAAAAAAAAGTTGGTTCCTAGTGTTGTATGTAGTGTGACGACCCTCAGAATGTCATCATAGTGGAGCTAGGTTCTGATAAGGGAGGGGCCACCTTGTCCGTTATTAGGAAGGGATGCGAGACATTTTGGCATTGAGTCAGTATGGCGGTTATTTTTAAATTGATATAGTGATTTGCAGATTAGTAGATTAGTAGAGAGCTAATTGAATGGTTATGGAATCTGCAGGAATCCTTTTTTTTTTTTGATATAGATTCCATTTTTCTGGGGTGAAAGAGATCAGCAGTGGCCTTCCCCCGGGCGTCAGCCGCAGGAACCCTAGCCCATGTTTATGCGAGGAATGAAGACGGGACCGGAGCTCGAGAATGTGCCAGAATGGATTGCTTCAATGAGCGCAAAGGCCCAGAAGTAATGCAGCTGAGCCAAGGGGGACACCTGGAGGGGGCAAGGATCCTCGGGCTTAGCGCTCGGGCTGGCGCGAGAGGAGATCTGATCGTCGGGAATGCGAGTCCAGCTGGACAGGCCGTGCGGGCTTACAGGCCAGTGCGGGCCAATGCCAACCAGTACTAGTGTTAGTGCCCAGTGCCCGGGAGGTCCGACCAGGAGGTGTCCGTACGGTGTACCTGGGTATGGATATGCCATAGAGTATGGAATGCATAGTACAGAGTACGGAGTAGGTAGAGGATGCAGTACAGGGTACTGTCTCCGTACTCATACTGATACATGCAGACTACACCTACAGAGTACATGTACACTCTGTAAGTGTAAAGTGGCTGAGTGGCAGTGCTCATCAGATGATCACGTAATCCACATGACTTCCCCTATCGCTGCCCTGTTTAAAGAATGACATCATCGCCCCCACCACTCGCGGCCTCTAGACCGGTCGATGTGCTGCAGGTGATCAACTTCCCTCCTCTTCATCTGACTGGCTCATCCAACTCAACTAAACTACAGTCACTCGGCCCCCATCCTTGTTTGTCCATTAGGAAACTATTTCCCTCACTTTTTTTTTTTTTTGGCATCGGGGCGGGTGATCGTCAGGCAACAGATGTTCCATAATCGCGGTTTCCATTCATTGGAGTTCCTTTCCATCCAATACAGATGGCAACCTGATAGAACGTGCCAGGCTGCCTTGTTCGATCTAACTCGACCATCCCATTGTCGGGCCCTGGGTTCCAGATCCATGGGTGGTCCAGGGTGCCTGGCTGCAAATCACAAATCGCTGACTGTCAAAAAATCACCCTAAACTCTGCCCTGCAGGGTATGTTCCGAGGGGGGAGGGAAGAGAGAGGGGGAACCTCTTAGGTTCTCCGTTAGGGATACATATACCTGTCCTAGGCTTTGACCGGGGAAAGCCCCAAGTGGAGGGGGTGTGAACATCAATTTAGGAATCCGTATGGAGTACAAGCCACATATTCGCATTGTCAGGTTCACTGTCCATGCGACCCGGATCAGAAGCGAAGTGGAGCCATGGTTATCGCATCATCCTAGAGGCCTTGCAACGCACAACACCTCGCCCCTCTACAACAAAAAAGAGATGGGGATCTGTTAGAATATTGAGTTGTAAAGAAAGGTTAAAAAAAAAAAAACCTGTAGTACACGAGAAGACTACAAGTACATAGATCGAAAGTAGATTATCTAGAGGTACTGTGTTACAAGCGAAGATCCTCTTTGCCCCCCCCGCATGCTCAAAGGGAAAAGCCCCCGCAAAGCAATGAGCGATTTTGGTGGGCCACACCATACCGGGACCTGCTCCTCCTTCTTTCTCCTCTTTCTCCCCTTCCTTTTTTTTTTTTGTGGTATTCTTTCTACCAGTCGTTACGCTTTCCTCTCTCTTCATCTATCCTACCTTTTGCTCTCTCCCTCTCATCTCACCCTTCCATCGCTCACCAGCTCACCACTCATATCTCTCATACATACATACTACTCCCACAAACCCACTAGCCGCTCGATCCTCCGCGTCATTCCACCCGTTTCCACTCGGAATTGAGTGCATCTCACTACTCTAGGGGCTTTCAAAAAGATAAATTGCCAGAAAGTCCTCTCACAATGGCCTCATTCAAGGTACGTGTCATTTACAAAACCTCGTTTCGGTTCTCTCCTTTCTCTCCCATCTCCCCCGGTGTTCCTAGCCCACCCGGTGCTGATTATGTGTCACCCGTCCGCCATTATAGGAATTGTCTCTCTCGCGTCCCCTCCCCCCAAACCAGCGTCAACACACACACTCAATCTCTCTCGGTGCTGTCAATGCCAACCATCGCGTAACGCGTCGGAAGAGTGTTACCACCGTCGCTGCCAATGCCGCTGCCCTGGTCGCGGCCTCTTTGCAGGAAGGCGGAGAGTCTACTTCGCTCCCCATGGCCGCACACCGCCGCAGTCTGGGAGGCCGCAAGGGACTGGAATCTACTTCGGTAGGAGGAGCATCGGGATTCAGCTCGTATCTTTCCCGGAGTATGAACAGCCCTAGCCAGGAACCACCGGTCGCCCGCAAGGCTTCCCCGAGCAACTCTGACGCGGACGGCAAGGCTATCCCCAAGGGCCGGAACCGCCGAGCCAGCGAAGGCGCTCAAATCAGGCTTGATGGGAAGCGCAACCCGGCCTCAATCCGCTGCGACCGTTGCGGGAAAGGGTATAAGCATGGCAGCTGCTTGTCCAAGCATATGTGTGTATCCCCCATACCGCCCGGTCGTCCTCTCCTTGCTCGATCGGGAGCATGCGCCATGTCGGCTCTGTGCAGGTCGCCCTCGTGGTCATTGAGCTCCCGACATAATTCCATCCCCTTTCCTTCCCACTCCTTGATTTCACTGGTGGCATCTGGTTGACATCTTTTGTTTGTGGTAACTTAGGTGGGAACACGACCCGGCGTGGGCAATTACCTCGAAACTACTTATCTCCAAGCACCAGCAAGTGCAGCTGCTGGAGGCCGCCACCGTATTAGTCGGCATGAACGACCCTTTGGACGAACTTCCCGAAGAATCCGCAGAAGTCGAGTCGGTTATCTCCTCTGCGTCACCGGACGCTTCGTCGGATGTACGGGATGGACTCAGTTCGGCTGAGACGACACCACCACCTCTTGACGAGCAGGAAGAGGACGATGACTTCGAGATGTCAGGCATGCCGACCAACTGGACTAAGCGCCCCAGCATTGGTAACGCTTCGGCTGCTTTCTCCCGCTCTTACCAGTCGATCCCCTCGAGCTCGTACAACGGCAGCGCTCCGCTCCACTCGCCGGCCTTCTCTCACTTCCGCAAGTCCAGCATTGACACCCGTCCATCCACCGCCGACACTCGACTCAACGAGGAAGATGAGGCCGATTTGGCTGCTGCCATCGGACTCTGCAACTTTGGCACGCCCCGCTCAGGGCCAGTTTCCATGACTCCTGATGTCCCCCCTGTGCCGCCGCTGCCTGCTCGCTACCTCGACTCTAGCAGCCACCCGAGCAACCAGAGCCCGGGTCTAGGCCACTCAGGTCCCATTAACGACGCTCTCCGCCGTGACTCCAATGCCGAATTTTTCCTTTCCGCTTCCCTCAACCCATCTTTGTCCTACAAAGTATCTGACGAACGGGGAGTGCGAACTAGTGACACCAAGACAAATGAGACCCGGCATCGCCGCAACGCAGATGTGGACTTCGGCAGCCGCCGTGCTCCTGCTGATGACGATGATGATGGTGTTTTCGGCCAGATGGAAGAGTAGTGCTCTTGATATTTGACCCGAAATAGCCTGTAGAGCCGCCGCTCTAGCCGTTCGCGCATGGCGACGACTCTTATCACGACGAAATGTACGAGCTTGAGCGTTTTTTTTATTTGGGAACCTTCTTGTCTACATGTTTTTTACACGCTTGCATAATGCAGGAACGCGCTCTAGACCGAGTTACCTGATTTTCTGAGGGCTTGGACCTGAGTTCCCTCTTCGCAAGACGTGTGTTTTCGGGACCTTGTTGCACCTTGGTGGGGATCCCATGTATCATGTCTCCTTGATCCTGTTTTTCTTCTCTCTTTCTGTTCCCTTTTTCTCTTTGATGCTCCTGCTAGTCCCATTGCCCTTTTCTTTTTGTTCTGGAAACCGCATAAATGGCCTTAACTGGCCGGCGCATATCTATCATCACTCATATCCCATACCTACTCATCCTTTATGCCCTGTTTTTTCTCGTTCCTTTTCCATCCTATCTCTTTTTTCCGCCTTCGCTTCGCACATATACACCATACTCATCTTGAAACCCGAATATCCCATGTGTGAAATCGTCCGCTCTCTTCTTTCCGTTTCCTTTTCCTGACGCTCTCTCACTCTCCCATATGTATCTAATGAGCCTGCGGACGAGCACACAATGAATATAAACCATTAAATTAGACATCCATGGATTTTTCGCATCGTAGTGCCTACAACGTTTCATAACTACAATTCAAGTTGACTTTGTATCTCTACTATGGAGTCAGCGTCTCGAAATTACTAGTGCTCCCCACTAGGCTCTGCCACTCCCCAGTGAAGCCATCACCTCTACTTATATCAATTGCTTATTCGGCAGTATTGAGTATACAACTGGTATAACACCAAGTACTAGTATATTATCGGTCCTGTAACAAAAAATTGTAATTTCTTTTGCCGGGCGAATCCTCTCAATCCGAATCAGTCAGCCCAGATGGAAATGGGCGGAAACGTGGCACGCCGGCTGGAATGCAGAACCCCATTTTCCCTTATTGGGATGTGATATCCTTGATCTCAGTGCCCAATTGAGTCCCAGATGTTGTGTGACAATGGGTGTTCAACTTGAATCTGATTTGAAACCAGCAAGTTTCGTGTGCGTCCTGCGAAGGGTCTCAGGGCCAAATGGAGGCGGCGTAGGCGTGCATTTAAACCGATTTCAAGTTGAAGATACTTAAGTACCTAGGTATGTTATACTAGGCACCATGATTAATGGAAATTCTTTAGCCAAACTTGTACCCGTAGCTAGTTGGATTTAAAGCTGTGGGTCCAGTTAAGAATATATATTTATTTGTTTAATAAGAATTATGCCAATGTGAACTTCGTGCTAATACAGATTACAGCTGCCAGCCATGGGAGGTCAGAGAAGACTCGTTGTCAATAGAGTTTGGTAAATGAGTTATGGGGGGGTTGAATAACAAGACAGGAGGGGTGTCAGTCCATCCGCAAACGCTAGTACTAGGCTGATTTTGTTATGCTGGGTGACTCGGATGTTAAACAGACGATGCACAAGTAACATTCCCTACATGTAGGATCCATGAATGACAGCAGTCTACTATGATATTTTTTCACCTAATGCAGTGGAACACCAAATCCTTCTAGTGGAAGTTATCATAATTGCTACTAGAATTGAGAGAAAAGAGGTTTCATCTCATGGGAAGACCATGCTACTGTAGATAGAATATAAAGCAGGTGATATCGATTGCTTTTTAAGGTACCATAGGGTAAATAAACCGTGATAACAATGACAATGCAAGCCCAACTCCAGTAATCGTGTCGTAGAGATCGAAAGAACCAAAATAAAGAAAACGAAAAAATCCCTCCAGACGGGAGAAGAGAAGAAAGACGAGACCCTTAATCCATATCCATCTCCTCCTCGACTCCACCATCCACCAAAACGCGGGCCTTCTTCTTTTGCCGCAACTTCTCCTCGCCGTGGA